AAACATCTGGAGACAATCCTGAACAACCTCAAACAGAGGAAAAACATATCATCCCCTGGTGAAGGAGCATGTGATGCTTGGTTTCCCACAGTTTTGTGGCATGTTGTTGGGCTTTCTGACAAGAGAGGAGCTCTGACTGAAGATTTTACTGAACAGGAGACATTAATAAAATTTTGATCTCAGCACTGATTTTCTCGTTTCTCCTATGAGGTGAGTTTACATGGTTGCTCCTCCCTTAAAGGGTCAAATGATACATTCTTACTTCCTTTACTTTCCTATTTTATAGAAGCTAGGTCCTGAATATTTTATCATCACTATGTTAGGTAGTTGAAAAGAGATTATTAAGAGGTGGATGAGTAATCAGATACGTATTTATAAAAATAATATTTTCAGTTACACTTGAATTTAAATTTATTTTTTTTTTGGTTGTGAGGTGTATTTGTTTGTTTGTTTTGTTTTATTTTGTTTTATGTTTTCTCCTAAACAAGATAATTCCTTATTTTTTTTTTTCTTGAAGTGTCACCTAAGTCTGACATAAAATCTCAGATTTGTTTAATTTCTGTCTCTGGCAAGTTTAGGGACTTTCTTGGATTGGATTGGATGTAATTATACAATGGAAGTTTTCCAGATTCCTGTAAGAAGGGCTTGACAGTCAGATTTAGAGCTGTGTTTGGGTTGCAAAGATGCAGGGAGGCACCTAATAATATTTTCAAAAATACATAACCACTTTTGGACAGAAAATGCCATTATGAACCTAACATTTCTAACTGCATTTCTTAAATCAGCTTCAGGTGCTTATTTTCATGTTTTGATACATTGTTAGAAAAACACCTTGTATTTCTACCAATGAAATATTTCTGGGTTTCAAGCAATAATTCTGTGCACAATGAACTCCATTTTTTGTGTGTGTGGGTAGAAGGTGCCTTTTGCATGGATCTAAAAGGTATCTGCGTACCACTGAGCATAAAATTTTATAAGTATGTACAGACATTAATTTATACTCATGGAACAAACCCTAAAAAAATAAGAAATCAATTACATCTTAGAAATTTCCATGTAAAAATGAAAGGAAAAAAATTCATTCCTTCCAAGAGAGAAGAAAATGTTCTGCTAACTTATTGTTCTGTGCCTCAGATTATGTTGGTTTTGGTAATTCACTGTTGTGTGAGTGGACAAACTACCTTCATTATAAAAGAAGAATGTGCATGTGTGTTCATGAGTCTTGCAGAATCAATGTCAAAGAAAATGTGAAAGTTTACATGGTTTTCAACAGTTTGCTGTGAAAGTATCTGCAGGAAAAAAATGACAGCAAATTTCCAGCTAAGGAAAAGAGATACAGCATTCAAATGTCACTATCAATACTGATTTAATTGCTGTATGCATACAAGAGAAAAAAAAAACCAACAAGCCTCTACTGACAAAACAAAGAAAACTTGCCTTGGAAAGGCCATCTCATTGCCATTTAAAAAAATAGGAAAAAAAGGAAAATTGTTTTTCCATGGCTTGGGGTTATTTTTGAGGGACCAGGACATCAGACATAGTTTTTCAACACCTAGACAATGCTTTTTCATTTCCATTTCTAAACATATCAGATTTATATTGCAAGGCAATGGAGATTTTAAGATGGGAAGAAAAGATTCCCCTAAGATAAAGGTTCTTTATCTTGAAGTTAATAAGAAAAGTAATAAGAAAGACAGTTTCTGAAAGAGCACATGACAAAAGAGAAGATCTTGAGAAGTGTTTATGTGATAAATTTCATGTTCAGTCATGGCAAGAAAACAAATATTCTGAGTTTCATTTTCTTTTTCATGGATCCCAGAAAGAGGGAAAGAGGGAAGTTTTGATACTTGTGTTCAAGAGATATTTAGGGGCCTTCATGGACCTTCACACTTATTTGAGCTGCCTTCTTTATTTTTTTAGTTGTTTTTATTTTTATAAATATTGGGGCCAAAATAAAAGTTTTTCCACATTGCTTCTTTATCATTTATTTGGAATTTCCATAAATTGTGGCTAATTCTTTTACAAGATTCATATAGATATATTAAAAGTAGGCTTCTTTTCATGGTGGCTTCTCTAATGAGTCATTTCCCTTCTTTATTTCTCATTTAACTCACTCGAGGGTTATAAAGGGATCAAATCTACAGCTGTGAATGTTTCTAGGACTTCAGGCTGTTCTTTCAGCTCAGTATTTCCTGCACTTTAATGTGTATTGCCCATCATTACAAGCTTTGAAATATACACCACTGGAGCATTGCCTTTACTAGAATATGTGTAAAGCTCTGGTCAAGAAAAAAACATTCATTATTTACCTCTTAAACAAATGTGTATTTCACTTTCTGAGGTGTTAAGTTCCAGATGGTATTACTAAGTCAAACACAGTACAACAAACAAAATTAAGTCTCATCAGTTTCTGCTATTCTTTCTTCCTCATGGTCCCAAACATTTCAACAGGCCTGTGTTGTGATGGAGAAAATTTTCCCAACCTGTCTCAGTATTTAATCCAAGTGGCTTGGGCCAAAACTCTTTCCTTTTCAAACCTTGCAAATTTGTAACTTCAAAGATGGGAAACATGACACCTAAAGTGTTCATCAGATGTGTTCCTCCTAATAAATTTTATTTTATATCATATAAGTATGATAGATGGATAGATAGATGATAGATAGATAGATAGATAGATAGATAGATAGATAGATAGATAGATAGATAGATAGATATGCTGAACCCATAACACAATGGAAATAACCCCAAATGCAATAACACACCAGGTCTTAAAGTAAAGTTTAAATTCATTTCTTCACCTTGGCTGTTTGCTTAAGTGAATTTGACCTTCCCTTCCCTCTGTCTAAAATCTTCCTGTTACTTGTGTTGTTATAGATTGTGGCATCTGTGTAGCATTTGCCTCTTCCTTATATCATGGCAACAAGCAAGTTAACAATCGATGGGTAACTCAAAAATGTCCTTTCTTTAGTGGCAGTGGATTTTTGAAAAGTTTGTTGGCATAAAATATCTCCCTGATCGCCTTTACAGAATTTTTCACTAAAAAGATAATCAAAAAAACTCAAAAGATTTGATGGCTACATTAAAGACAAAAAAGTTTAATCTCCTTTAATTTGCAACCTGTGGTGAACAATAAATCCCACTAACCTTTCTCTTCAAAAAAGCAAAGAAAATCCAAATAATGTAGCCTCCAAATAATTATCAGAAGTCTGGCTGCACTGTCAGGGAGTGATATACAAGATTCAATTTTAACTAGAGATTACAGCCCAGCAACCTTGTAGTCCTGAATGTCAGTCATGTCACCTTCCCCTGTCGGGAAGTGTGTCAGGACTCATACGTGCAGGGTGAGGTAGAGGCAGTGTGTTACCTCACCAGGGGTAGGGTATCCTATATTCAAACTAGCCAGGGAAAAGATGACACTCCTCCTCCTCCTCTTCCAAGTGAAAGCAGGCAGAGCCACTTCCCCATGGGATGTTCACTGCTGCAGCCCTTCTCCCCCAGGCCACCACACCCAGCGCTGTGGCGGGGTGTTTGCTCTGCACCTCACACCAGGGCATAGTGAACTAAACATTCCAGGGGATATATTCTGGTGCCTGAATCTCCTGGATCATCTTCCCTTGTTTTTGAATGAAACACAAAGGCAGTTCAGCACTTTCCTGGAGGCTGGGGTGCTGTATCATTCACAGGGGTGATCTTTGCTAACTCTTTTTCATGTTGACAGTTTAAGCAGTGATTCTGGACTGGTCCCCTGAAGGAAAATTTGACAGTGTGGTGTCTGTCAGTGCCAGCGTGTGGGCTCACAATTCCCAGTGTAAGGCCATTTGCATGAGAGTGAGGGGAAAAGCTGAAGCTCATAATTAAACTGCTGCTGTAGGACTGGGGGGATTTCATTCACTAGAGCTGTCCATCAGCTTTTCCCTGGGGAAGGGAAAAGGGAAAAAAAAAGGGAGAGGGAAAAAGAAAAAAAGGAAAAGAGAAAAAAGGGAGGAGAAAATGGAAAAGTGAAAAAGAGAAAAAAAGGGAAAAATGAAAAAAAAAAAAGAGAAAGGGAAAAGGGGGAAGGGAGGTATGGAGGGGAAAAAAGTAAAAGGGGTAACAGAAAAGGGAAAAAAGATTGAAGGAGAAGAGAAAGAAAGGTGTGGAGTGGTGCAGTGCAGGAAGGCAAGGCAAGAAAAAAGGAAAAAAAAAAAAGGAAAAAGGAAAAATGGAAAGAGAAAAAAAAAAAGAAAACAGGAAAAAGTATAAAGGAAAATGGATAAAACAAAAACGAAAAAATAAAAGAGGAAAAAAGAAAAAAGAAAAAAGGAAAAATAAATAAAATAAAAAAGGAAATAAAAAAGTAAAGAAAAGGGAAAAGGGAAAAGGGAAAAGGGAAAAGGGAAAAGGGAAAAGGGAAAAGGGAAGAGAGAGAAGAGAAGAGAAGAGAAGAGAAGAGAAGAGAAGAGAAGAGAAGAGAAGAGAAGAGAAGAGAAGAGAAGAGAAGAGAAGAGAAGAGAAGAGAAGAGAAAGAAAAGAAAAGAAAAGAAAAGAAAAGAAAAGAAAAGAAAAGAAAAGAAAAGAAAAGAAAAGAAAAGAAAAGAAAAGAAAAGAAAAGAAAAGAAAAGGAGAGTTCTAGCTTATAAGGAAGAGTTGGAATTTTTTATTTTATTCATTTTTAACTGTCAGCATGATTGGAAGTAGGTAATTGTTTTACATCTTAAGATATTGCTCTTCCAAGAGTTAGTTCACCGTATGCAACTGTTTAAAGCATTTGAATATGCTTTCTGTGTGCACGGTTTTCTGCTCCAGTGTCCTCCCTTGGCTGCCTTTTCCTAGCCTCATTCTTTATTGCAAAGGACATTTGCAATGAAAATGGGTTCTCTGCCTCTTAACAGTTCATCTGCTCCTGCTGCTCATTTCCCCACCTGAAGTCACAATCCTCCACTTGTGACCTCGCTGCAGGTTGCTTTGGTGAGAGGATTATGTTGTTGCAAATAGAGGTTTATAACTTCAGGAAGAGAATGAGCAGCCAGACCAGATGGACTCCTTTGAAATGAAGATCCTGTCTTCATGCAAATGCTGTGAATGATAAAAGGACAAGAGGGAAAAGTGGCAGAAATTACACAAGCAGGATTGTATCTAAATACAGAGCACAATTACTCCTAGTCCCATTCCATGCCTGGAGCATGGTTAATAGGAGAGACCCTGTAAGTCCTGGGGTGGTTCAGAGAAGTGATCAGAATTTGCACACATTTTAAAGTAACCTTCAGTCAGCTCTGATATGCCCCTTAGTTCTGCTGGTTTCTGCCTGCTATTTTGGGTGATACCAGATTTAAATCAGGATAGTCTATTGAAAGAAAATAGCACAAGTCTTTATAGCTTGAAATAAGGACCAATTACCACAATCAGGAACTGTAACTCGCTCACATACTTTGTGGCTCAGGCTGACAGAGGGGTGCTTAGCACTGAGTCACACTGGCAGTGAGGACCATTCCAGGAGAACTGTAGGGCAAGTTTCTCAGAAATGGCTAGACTTTCTGGTAAAAAAAGTCTTCTAAGCCATGTTTCTATGATGTCCCTGGTATTTTGTTTTAAAAGTATGCAGCCTCACTCAACTTGATGCAGTGCAGCTCCTACCCATTTTGTTGTGTTCAAGAAGTTGCATTAGCAGAGCTCTGAGCCTGAATTATAAAATCCATCTTTTCAGTAGCTGAAGCAGCAAAGATTGTTTTTGGTTGTAGTCAGCTCTGGTGCCTGAACTTGCATCCCCTGTGCCATCCCTGTTGTGTGAATGTGCCTAGAGATTCTTTTAACGCAGTGCACTGCCGAATTATGCCTTTTAGAATGAAATGGCCTTCATGTGTTTAACAAACCATTCCATCCAGAATATCCTTTAGCCTTGCTGGGGATCACCAAACTCAGGCTGCTTGTTGCTACCTGCAGCCGTCAATTCTCTTGAACTATTTAAGGTGCACAAAAACACTGTTATTGCCACTTGGAGCAAAAAATCTATGTTTTCTTATCTCCCAGAATGTGAGACCTGACAGGTTATCAGGGAAAAGGCATGAAATTATTCTGCAGCTGGGGATTGGACATGCCACAGTGTTCTCCCATTGTTTGGACAGAACCACAGGTTTTCCCAGTGATCCATGGCTCTTCAGAAGCCAGATCTTAGTGGCAGCTTGACTGGTTGTGTCAACACACGGGAACATGGACCAAGCAGTGCAGACCTGTGACACTGTTCTCACTGCTGTGACATGAGACCCAGGAGACACACAATGAGTCTTCTTTTTGAAATGTTTGCCTGAGAATATATCATTTTTCATCTGGTTCAAACTCATAAGAATGTGCTGGTAGTAAGTTTTGGAAACAAGAATATAGATAATTATCTGCTCTGCAGCTAAATAAGAAAACAGTGGGGATAAGTCAGATAATTGAACTACAGTTTTACTTAATCACTTCACTGTCCCTTTTCCTTCTCTTCTAGTGCAGAAAAATAAAATCCAAAAAAAATATCATTGATTGATAAAATAAAAATAATAATGAAATGAGGTCCTTGATCTACGGAAGCTCCCAGTGCAATGTTAATATGACAAAGAGATAACTGCCATGTAGCCACTTATTCATCACACATATGTCATAATTTTATATGTGTATTCAATCTGAACCCTTGGAAAATGAATTTTTTTTTTTATTTTTTTTTTTAAATTGCTTGATTTCGCCTTTTCTGCTACCTAATTGAGGCTTTTAAGCAATTTATATTACCTGGAGAATTTTTCAGGTCCTCAAATGGATCCTGGGAAAGACATACCCTTGATTTATGGAGAAGCTGTAAACTTAGTGCATTGTTTACAAGAGGAACTGACTGTACATCTTTAAAAAATCTTTAGCATGTTAACATCTTTAAAAGTAATCTCTAAACATCTATCCTTCCTCACTTTCTGAGTCAGTTACTTGGACAGGGACAGATTTCTGGGAGGAAGCTGGGCTAGGAGTGAGCCACAGGAGCACCTTTCTCATCTGTCAATTATATAAAAACACTGTATCAATCTAGTAAATAAATTAATAAACACAAAAATAAATATCTAAATAAATCCTTACTAAATGCAGCCCTTGCATTGGGGGCAGGAGCTCTGAAAACAGCACAGAGAGGGAGAATGTCAAAAAGCTTTGGACAAAACTTCCAGACAGACATAGCTTCCACTGCTGCCTGGTACGATGTGTCAGTACGCGTGACACTATCGCTGGATACATCAAAGAGTGCGTTAGAAACATCCCTGCTACAAAAGGGAACACTGGTTGTGCATCCCTGAAAAGCAGTGGCATTGACACAAAAGAGCTTGTCAGAGATAGCAAAGGGAAATGCCAGCAACAGTTTTGCACATATAATGATTCCATCAGTACATTGGAGAGACGGGCAATAAAAATGATCAGGGTAGTGCTGGTCACATCGTTTTATGCAGACGGCATTCACTATGAATTTAGCTCCTTTTATTCCTTAAAAAAAACCCCAAAAAAACCCTTGCAAACTGGTGGTGATTGATACAGGGCAATCATTACTCATTGAGCTGATAGCTGGGAAGGTCCATGAGGTCAAGAGACCTGACCTGGAAAGAGTAATGGATTATTATAACAATATCTAGTGGCCTTAGCCAAGTTCAGAGACTTGCTGGACTCCACATATGGAAGAAGTGTTGTTGAGCCAATGAACTTATAATCAAACTGAATAAAATTTGGGGGATGAAATAATCATGGTGTCAGAGTAGAGCAGTAGCAGAGTTTAGCCAAGAAGCCAGGTTTTCTGACTTCATGGCTAGTATCTGAGCCAGTTACCTCTTTTTATATTGTTTATTATTTGAAGATATCCATCACTGATTTCTGGCATAATGTTTCTACTGATTATTAAAGAGGCATTCAAGAGATGTTTCATTTTGATTTAGAGGGGATAAGTTATTTGTTGTTTTTTTTTTGGGTTTAGACAATTGCTGTTGTTTTCTTCTAGAAGATTGAAAAAAGGTTTTAAAAGGTGGGTGTGTTCCAGCAGATGCTTAGGAACAAAAAGACTTTCTACAAACAAATTCCTGGGTTTTAAAACATAACTTTCAAATCTATGCTATTCAAAGGAAAGAGAAAAAAGCGTAAAATGTTGCATTTCTGCAGTAAAGACTCTGAAAGTAAGAGTTGCTTCCCAGTACCATACCTCAAACAATTTTTTCCTTCTCAGGGTGACTTTGTAGATGAAATGACAATTTAAAAGATTTTGGATTAAAACAACAACAACAAAAAGACCTGCTAGATAGTTCAGACCAACTTAATACAACTGTATGTAAAATTTATTAAAACTTATGCATTTTTAGCAATAGAAGACAGATAATTTAGAAGATATTCCTTTTAAGGATCTGTGTGTATTAAAACAGTTTTGGCAATGTCAGTGGAAGTAAATGTTTTCAAGAGATATTTGCATCTTTCTCAATGAGTACTGAGGCTCACAAATAGTTGTCTACACTTCTCTTAGATAATCACAGGTGATTTCAGTGGAACTTTATACAGAAACCTCAACCTTATCAGCATGTATTGAGTCTAAGATTGCCACTACAAAGTCTGAACAGAAATTTTCAATATCTAAAGTTTGAAAACACCAAAATGAGGAGCTATGATTGGAATGATGGTTGGACAACCAGTAAATTACCATAACACAGGAATGAAAAACTGTAGTGGGATACTGGGGAGAAGATTCTAATTACCTAGGCCTATTAGGCTTGAAATAGTCCAGCAGGGAAGCTGAGAAATTTGCATTTGAAAACCCCTAATTTGAGGTTTTTGGGGAGACGCAGAACATGATTTAAAGCAGTATCCCAAAAAATGCCATGCCATCTATTATACACATGGAAGCACTTCTTAAAAAAGGAAGTTGTGAAGTGCCATGTGAGGTGTAGCCTACACCAAAAAAATCCAAAAACAAAAAGCCAAAAACAAACAAACAAACAAACAAGGAATAGGAGAATCAAGCAAACAAATTAAGGGATCCATAAAAGTTAAGTGGCTTTAGTTGATTTTAAGAAAATATTTTACAAATGCGGCTAGGAAGGAGATTATTCATTTTCTACTTATTTACCCTTTCTGTAGCAAGCTGTTAGGACTCTACTTGAGCAAAACTGCATACTTAGCCACATGACCTAAATCCACTTTAAATCAGGTCTGTTGCTTTGTGCCTGGAATGATGTAGGCATATGTGTAAGGAAAAAACAAAAAGCCAAAGCACATGCTGCAACATTACTTCTAAGAGTTGAGGGATATAGCAATCTCTGGTAGATGCTGGATATTTTTCAAGTAATACAGCAATTTTATGACATATGGATGATTGCAGTTCATATTTATTTGTTTGTTGTCTTTTTCTGTTGTCTTTAATTAATAGTTACTTATCCAATCAGCCTGTTAAGACTTCCCAGGGTGTCTTTTCAAGATGAGATTCCACAGAGATATCTAAGCATGACACCTTTATCCTGTCACACTCAATGACTTTGAGTCTGACTTCTCAACGGGCATTGGTTTCTTCAGTGGATCAAGAATAGCATTTGGTTTCTTCTAATGCTTTGGTATTTTCCCCAGATTATTCCCCAGATTTAATTCCTTTTCCTATGTGTCCAGGTAAGATTCCTTGATCCATAGTTAACACCTTCCAAAGTATCCACCAGGCAAGGATGGCCAGTAATGCCATATTAACTCACTGATGTCATATTAGCACAAAATTTGGCTCCTTTATTTTCATTTTTTGTTTCTTAAGGAATAAATCCAGACATAAGTGGTATCCATTATAAACTGGATTTTTCTTATTGTAGTAGTTAAAGTTCAGTATTGGGATTTTCCATTTACTCCTGGGGAGTCAGAAGATTATCCAAAAAGGATCCCTTATATGATAAGAAAAAGTTTGTTGCCATGAACTTTGATTTCAATACACCGGGAACTATAGCTGTCCTTGAAAAACAAACAAACAAACAAACAAACAAACCAAACCAAACCAAAACAAAACCAAAAAACCACAAGAATTTAAAAGCCATAAAATAGAGCAGATTGTTTAAAACTAATATTTGGGTGCCAGTCATAATGGCTGAAGAGAACTGTGTATTGTACTGGTGCAGATTTGAGGTCTGAGGGAAAGTTATGGTGCTTGAGCTGAAGAACTTCATTTCCCATTTATAAAATATGGAATAAAGTCCTATTCTTGTCTTCTTTCTCATCCCCTAAACCTGAGAAACATTCCAATACTCAAAAGAATCATCACAGAGGAAAAAAAAACCTACCTCATCTTCTGTTGGTGCTGATACTTCAGACCATTTCTGCCTAACCTCAATTCCATTTTTTATCACAGTAGAAAATGGAGCCAGATTGGAAGGATAAAAATGCCTGTGCATTCACTTCATTCAAAGCTGCAAGTTGCACTGAAAAGGATGCATAATTCTCTGTGCTCTGGGACATAATACAGGTAGGAAAGAGCTCACAAACAATGTGTGGCAGTATAATATTGTCCAGGCACTGCACAAGACTAGGTAATCTGTGTGTGCATGAGTGTGTATGTGTGGAGAGAGCATAAGGATAGGCACATTAAGTAATTTTTTTCATCACTGTTATGACGGGAATTTTGTTTGGCAGAAATGACACCAAAAATGGTGGGCAAAAATAAAAATAAAATAAAAATAAAAATATTAAAATAAAAAATTAGATTATTTTTCTGTTTCTTATTTACTCTGAAAAAATGGCAGAATTTTACCAATCTATGATTTGAGGAGCTCAGCTGTGCCTTTCTAGATTTGTCCTCTGCCCTACCTTCTGTGGGACGCTGGAACAAAAGGGGTTCAGGGGACCTTCCTCCATCCACCCTGACAAACATAAGACAAGGGGCTGCTTATTTAGTATTTAAAAAAAAACAAAGGCCATTCTTACCACTTCAGCAAAAAGCAATTGATCACCAATAGTGAGAAAACATTGTTTAGCCACAGCACACAAGCCTTGAGGGATTTATGAGCAGCTCCAAGCTCACCTCTTGACTTCAGCTGGAGACTGGGCCGCGTGTCTGAGTACCAGGATCTGACTGGTAATGTCCTGTGCAAATGAATTTAGAGATTTTCTCAGCTTGTATTCATATTCTACAAAAGGTAAATATCCCCCAATTACACCTACTTGGAGTTGAATTATCGACTTCAGCTTTGAAGTGCAAATGAGCTGAATGAAAACATAGGCTGCAACATTGAAGCTATTCCTACTAGCTGATTTATGGTGCATTAACTGTCTAGTAAGGAAAGCCTTCTATTGCTATGGATTTTTAATCCCCCTGTCCAATTATCCTGAAGATGAAGGCAAAATGCCATCCAGTGTATGAGTCAATCAATAGTGGTCATTTCTTAAAATTCTTTACTTCTCTTTCTTTCCAGCAATCCAGGTTACAGGGTCTTCCATAAATTGCTCTTTCATGGTTTATCAGCCCTGCTGTTTCTAAGAGTGAGACTTAGGGACTACAGTTATGAAAATAAACTGCTATGAACAGCCCTCCAGTAGGTAAAAACTACTAGCATTTATCACCATAAATGGAAACCCTTTTAGAAACTTGTAATCACCATTGTCTGTCCGTCTAAAAGTGATCTCTGACTAAATAAATGTCAAGAAGTGGAAATAATAAAATATATTTTTATGACTATTTAATTAAACAAATAAATATACATACATGAAGTCATACCATATGAAAAGTTCAAGCACTCAATTCTCCTGTTACAGTTTGCTATTGTACATTATATCTTCATGCAGTACTACTTCCCAACTCTCATCTGAAACAGAAGAGGAGCCCTCTCATTTGCCAAAGCATCACATCCACTCGTTCAGTCTTCTATTTTCAGGCATTTATTTTAATCAGTGGAAAACCTCTCAGCCTCACCAGTTCTCTATTACAATATAAACACTTTCTGCTGCTTCCTAGAACGTCCAACACAAGCACAGAGTTCAGTTTATTTGGAAAATCATGTTTAGTTCAAGAAAATACTGGATATAGCACATTCAGTTTATTTGCTGCATTTGTGTTCATGTGTTTCTACCCATCTCTCCCTGATAAACAGATATTTCTTTCACTTCAGAGACAGCTAAAAAACGGTACAACAATTGAAGTTCATGTTATAGGTGTAACTGGAGGAAGTAGCCCTCAACATTTATAACCAGAAGAAATCAAGTGATTACAATCATTGCAATGCAGGATAAAAACAGAGAATTGCAGAATGGTTTGAGATGGAGAAAAAACCTTAGACCTCATCTATCTCAACCCCTCACCACTCTGCCATGGACAGGGAAGGTGCATCCTCAAGCACATGCATAAATGTTGTCAACTCTATATGCTATTCCCTCTCTAAATTGCTAGTTTAATGTTAAAAACAAAGACAATGAGGAATGACTGCCTTCAGTGCTGATATCCAGTATGTACCTGTCTGAAATAAGATAAAAAATAATTCCAGCCTTTCTATCACAAGGTAGGCAGCAAGAAACTAAAGAGTAACAATGAGCAACAAGATATTTTTTAGGAATCAATACAAATGTCATGATTGGACAATAATCTCCCAAGGAGTTTCAGCCTGTTAGAAATACCTAATACGTGTTGTAAAATGATTTAAGATCTTAAAAGAGTCATAACCTTGATTATTTAAATTCAAATAGATAAGATCACAGTGGTATCTGGAAACAGAAATATTGTACATAATTTTAGGCCACAATGACAGCTGTTATGATATTTTCCAGTGAGGTAAATGATCTGTGTTTGATGAAACCTAGATAAATCAGTGTTCAAAAGTGTCTTAAATTCCAGCTTTCTTTGTTCTGTATAGGTGGAAATAAGATGTAAGAAACAATAATTATAAAAAATATAAGATATTATAGACTGTGAAGTAAGGAAAATGCCCTGATTGACAAAATAACATTTCCCATCCTGGGTTTTTGTTATTCTAACAATCAAGGTGCAAGCAGAGTTGTCTCTATAATAAGGAAAGTTTTCAAATTTATTAACATTTTTCAATCAAAAAAGGTAATTAATGAACTAATGAAGATTTTTAATCTACTCTATAGTTTAAAGTCCAGAATAATCGTAACCAAGGTCATCCAGATCTGGATGTGTTCAAGGCATTGGATTATGTTGTCAGCCTTCTTCTTATGAGCTCTAATATACATACAGTGTTACCTGAGACTCACAGGGTTACCTTTAGTGAGTGATCCTTGCATTTTCTTGGGGAAGATACCATTTTCTTTGGGCTCAGTCCAGAATCAATTATGTAGGTGCAATGGGAAACACAGTTATGCCATTTCCAGGAGAATTTTTATCTGCACTACTCTATAAAGCTTTTGCCTAACTTCAAAGTTCAGATGTTACTTTGTAAAGGCAGAATTAATTTTCTTGATTGCTAATCCATCACCACTAAGTATGATGCATATGGTATCAAACATAGGTATTTCTGCTATCATTAATTGTGGCACATTGTCACAACCGATAAGGAAATGCAATATGAGAACAAGAAAACAGTTGCTGGATTTGGCAGCTTACCCTTGTTTTCCTAGTCACCATGGCAGGTACCAACCGAAACCCTTAACTCAGGAGGGTGACTGTGTGAATAAACAAGGAAAAGAAACTCAGGACTTGAAGAGCATCAATCATTCAGCTGTGTTGTCTCACACTCTCTTTGCAGTGCTGTTGTTCAGTGAAAGATAAAGATGAATAGGAAGAAGGAGGGGTGCCTGTAAAATATCCTAATGCTTGGGAGCAAAGGCATAACTTTTGGCCCTGAGAATTCTGCTAGAGAAAAGGGGAGGCAGTGACACAGAGGGCAAGAGAAGGAAATTAACATGTACTTGATAAAAGAGAAATCAAAAAAATAACTGTGGTTTAAATGGCAGGTAAAGTACAGCTGAAGTGGTAAGTATCATATGACAGACAGGAAAAGAAAGGAAATTAACATAAGTTAGCAGGGTAGAAAATACCTGGGTCCAAGCCCAACAGCAGGTAGAAATCCTCAGGTCAAGAGGAAAAGAATGAGCTGCTTTTGAGAAATTAAATCATAATGTGAAGTGCTAGGGAGGTCTTTTGAAACAAAAGCAAACCAAAACTTTTCTGTTTCAGTTTGTTTTATGGGCAGAGAATAGAATCTCTGAAATAACTGTGAATTACAGATTAAATGATTTTATTATTAGATAAAAAAAAAGTCAATGGAGATAGATTCTTTCGAGATTGTATAGATGTTCCCCAGAGTATCTTCATAATATGGCAAGCTTATAGAAGCAGGGAGATAAGGAGGTGAATCCTGTATTTTAAACCAGTAGAAGCTATTATTATTATCCTTGCTGACCCCCAGTGTAATGCAGACCTAAAACAGCACAATAATTTCTGCATTAGATGAAGAACAAGTGTTAAAAATTTTTGGGCAGTGCTGCAGCCCACATTGTACCATAGGGAGGGTCCCATTAATTCATGCAGGCATCTTAAAATGCTATTAAAATGTTCTCCAGCCCCTGGCTGGGAGACAAAAAAAAAATTAAAAAAGGAGGTTATTTGAAGCTACCCTAACCCTTCCCATTTACTGATAAACTTTGAGATGAATGTTGCATCACTCTGTAGCACAATGTAGCTTTTTAATGATTTTGCATTGCTATTGCTTTTACTGTTAAGGGAAACAATCTCAGGAAGCAGAGTCTGGATTAGGTTACTTTTTTTTTCTCCTGGTTTACTAGATGATAGGTCTCCTAAGGTTATGTTACAATTTAGAACTGAGACATGGAATTGGCCTGGCTCTCCTGAATTACTATAAATTTAGGTATTTTTTAACTCTGTTTAGTTTTTTTATCTATTTTTTCTTTCTAAATGGGGTCTTATTAAATCAATTCCTGACATTTCAATAAAAACCAGGAACAGACCAGAAAAATACCTGTTCCTATTCCACACTAAACTCTGTTCTGCAGACCTGCACTCCTCAGCTCTATATTTTGAAGTGGCAAATTGCAGGTCTCTGCATTGGTGGCTTCCAGAGTGTATTTCCTTTTCTCCTTGTAGGAGCCCTGCTTCTTATTTCTCTGTTGGTTAATGCTAAACTATTTTTCTATCGCAAACCATTCATGCTCATCCTTCTGGAACTTTATGAATCTTCAGCTGCTTTATATATCTTAATTTAAGTGAACTAAAAACAGGTGTTCTGGGATGAGGAAGCAAAATAGATGCTATAACAGTGTTGTAATAATAATAATACAGTAATAAAGCAACCATCAAAATAACAATAAACAGTGGAAATATTTTCACTATTTAAATGACACTTAATAGATACTGAACAACACAATAAATATAAGATACTTTATATGATGCGCTATATACTTTTTCTGACATATTTTTAATTCAGGCATTTTAAGACATAAACTGTTTAAATGTATATATATGTTTGCATGTATATGAATTAGTAAATAATATATAAATATATACAAACACAAACACATTCACAGAATCACAGACTGTCTTGGTTAGGAAGGGACCTTAAAGATCATGTAGCCAGTCATAATTAAGCTAGATCCACTTCACAGAAACAAAACCACACATTTGAATAATACTAAATTTATTCAAGTCACTTTTTAAAATCCAGACTTATTTTCTGGTTCTCTCACATATGTTCTGAAGCAGATAAATATCTTTAGATCCTTTAGTAAGATCAGAAATATATCCAACATATGCATCATCTTGAAATGCATTCTGCTCCACAGAGAAATTTATTACTGAAGGAACCGAAGTTTCAACTGGTTTTAGACAGGAATGATTTGCAGAGTCTGGTGTTAAGAGCAACACTGAAAAGTAATGAGGAAGTCCCCACCAAAGTTCTATTTCTTTAGCACAATGTTTTACTTAACGTTGGGCTAAGAGATGACCACAACAAAAGAGAAGGAGCCAGCAAAGTGTTTCTGTGCTGCCTCGTGCGGCCAAATTAATGTTGCTACACATTGCATGGTGTACTTTCAGGTGTATTTAAATGGAGAGAGCAGAGGGGCCACAGCATCCTTAATCTGAATAAATCACCAAGTGCGGGAAGGACTCACAAAGTGATAAACTCAGAACAAGACAGGGAAGATGCTTCTGGAATGAAACGACCAACAGCAATTTCAGATCCTGTCCCTCTCTGAAATAGATGTGAGTCTTTCCATTCATTGACTTATGCAGGTTTGGATCAAGCTAACAGCAGAGAAGCAAAATTTATACATCTGGATGTGCAGAAGAAATTCAGATGGAAGGAATTCTCTGAACCTTACTGTCGTGTGGCCATGTGCTCTGAAAGTGACCCCGCCCAGCCTGTCCTGGCTCTCACAAAAAGATGAATAGAAATGATCACGGGAGGCCAAGGCCACAGTTTTTGGATGACCTTGTAAAGCAACCCTTCCACCAGCCTCATGTGTCATGTACATGCAGCAGTCAGAATGATCCAGGTATGCACCAAAAAAGGCTTTTGTGTAAACTTAATATTATTATAGCATACAAAAAAATGTAATATGGAGCAAAGCACCCTTTTTAATGCATACTAATTACAGTGGGAAATTGCCAAACATGAATTCACTTACCACTTCAT